AAATTTGTCTTCGTGAAAAGTGTGCGATTACAACTTAAGATGTTTCACTGGTTTTTAAGCGGTTGTGATATGGAAGAATCATTCTGTCGCGTCCAAAGAATAATAAATTCTAGATGATGGAGCTTCGTATGCTAATATAGATAAGCAAATGAACCTTCTAGATTCTTCCATGTTCGCGAATTTTTGGAACGTTTTAGTTCTTAAATATAGAGGACTCAAATGAGATTATTTTCCATATTTTTTGTATTCCATCTACGTGACAAAATTTGCCTAAAAATCTTCGATAATCGAAAATTAATAAATACTCGTCGTGGAATTAACGAAGTCACTATAAGGGCGTAAAAATTCCCATTTTCACATTCATCTGCATAACAAAATTTTCTATCTGACAAATTTTTCACTCGCCAATACTCCACGAAACAATCTTCGACGATCCAAAATTAATAAATACCCGTCCAAGGGAATTGGCGTAGTGACTGTAAGGGCGTCCAGTAGCCGCATGGTAAGAAGTTGCAATGTCGGTAGGCTGTATCTTTGCGAGACGGCAGGTTTAAGTGTCCATTCATCACCTAGAAGGATACAGCTTTATTGCAAACGCGACGAGGGAGCTTGAAGAGGTCGCAGTAGTTTACTGCCGGGGTTATCGCGTATCGGATCAACACGTAGCCGGGACCATCGTGTGATTATTACAAACTCGCGGACCATTATTTATGGGCAATGCCGGCCGATCTAGAGATATCGATTCAATCGGCTCGTTCGTTCGTTTCGTAAGGGCGCTTCTGTGCTCGTCTTTTATTTTCACGAAGGCCTATAACGTCGCCGGTGATCAATAAACCTGGCCTGAACACACGGGGTTGAATAATAGCAAGCAACGTTGAATAGTCGCTGAATTATTAATGCTTAACCCTTGTACGGAATTTGTAAATCTACCGCTGTTAGGTAAATTTGGGTCGAGTTCACCTTAATATCGTATATTCGTTAAAAAAGAGGAGTATATTAAAATAACTATAACTATATTATTCAATTCTATTTTCATTGTGTTATTTTATTTGAGAAATGTTTTCATATTTTGTTAAATTTCGAGGAAATTGATTTTAGCATTGTTCATTTCTCTTAACGTGTGTAACACGTGTGATTTTTTTAGCTTGATGCGTTTTGCAAGAAATTATAGTGCATTGTAAGAAATATTTCAGTTTAGTATTCTCATATTTTTCTAAATTTCTATGAAAATAATTTTAGCGCTGTTCCTTTCTTTTGAAGTATGCAAGTACGTGTGACTCTTTCAGCTTAGTGCTTTTTATAAACAAGTTATAGTACATTTTTGCCACTTATTAAAAACATTTGAATTTTTTACCTAATTTTGGGGAACGTGTTTTTTTCAGAGATATTTTCAATGCAATTTTATCAAATCTTTTACACAATGGCAATCGGTAAAAAAAAATCAATAAAAATTTACTTCTTTTTTCTAATTGTTATTAAACATTACTATCTGCTTATGGATACGAAAATGTTTCAATTCGAAGTATCCGTTAAACTGTTTTCTGAACTTGATTTTAGGTCGAAATGACCTAATTTTCATCAAAGAGATAAAATTGCAACGTGAAAATAGTATTTATTAACATTGTGACATGATCGTGCGTATCTTTTGGTTTCCATTGACGTCTACGATGATCGATAAGTTTAGTTTGAACAGAGAGAAAAGTTTGACAGTAAATTAGTAATACTTGAAGCAGTGACGAGGCAGTCGCTTATTTCTAATTTTCGCGATAGCTAGTAATTTCGTTGGTGATCAATAGTTCTAAGCTGAGCACAGGCTTGAATAACGGCAGGTAACGTTGCAAGCTTTCCGCTTGAATTATGAAACTGTAATAAAGCAATAATATTCGTTAATTTTGCACCGATTATTTTTTAATAAAAGTTCAGAAATTTGGGCGTTATCGAGTGTTTGAAAGCATTGTTAAAAAAATATTTTTTCAAAAGCTA